TTCCATATACACAAACAAGTCAACATAATGACATTCTTCAATGTATTCTGGAAAGGCTTGACAAAGTTGATCAAAAGTTAAACCAGTTAAAAAATATCATTCAAAGTTCAATAACGGACCTTACATCACGACTGAATAGCATGGAGTCGAAAAATTAACGGTATTGAAAAAAGCCAAAAATTCATGAGTGACCAATACGACACACTTTCTGTCTGCACCAATGTTAATAAGAAGAATATTGAACATTTACAGTGTGAAGTTAAATCTTTGAAAAAAAACAAAATTCTGGCATAAACAATGAAAAATAGTAGCTTGAAGGAGTCAGTTATAGATCTTAAATGTCGCTCCATGCGTGACAATCTCTTGTTTTTTGGCATTCCGGAGGGCAGCTCGCAGATAAAAGCATTATCGTCTACTGGTGTGATTAACGAGTCAAATATCGAAGATCCTCGCCGGGACAGTAACATCGAATATCCCAAAAACACATCAAGGGCCGCAAAAACCTGCATGGATTGGTCGAGGCAATTCAAGTGCTTATGACGCAGGCACTACCGATGCGTCGATGACGTCACACTTGACCAGTTCGGCAGTATCCAGTACTGAGAATTGTGTGTATAAGATTTTTTGATTTCTGCGAAAAAGTATTACATATATCAGGAGCAAGTAGCAGAATTGAAATTGATAGAGCCCATAGAATTGGCAGCTTTGTCAAAGGGAAAATTCGACCTGTGGTTGTAAAATTTAAAAATACAGATTCAAAAATGCTTGTAAAAAATGCCTTGAAAAACATTAATTTAAAACAAAGTGATTATAAAACGTGTCAGAACAGTTTCCCCCAGAGGTCAAAGAAAGAAAAAAACAGTTAATTCCGGAACTTATTAAAGCGAGAAATCAAGGTAGAAAAGCGGTATTGGTGCGAGACAAACTATTTATCGATAACCAGTTATTTAACCCGACAGTTATGCACGGAACGTGTCTAGTGACTAGGATTTTTGCGAGAAAAGTATGACCTCTCAATTATTTCATGGAACGTTGAGGGCCTTAAAAATTGTATTAAGGACGATGATTTTCTTAATTTTGTTTGTTAACTTTGACATTATTTTTCTATGCGAAACTTGGCAAAAAGATAATGAGATATACCAAATAGATGAATTTGAATGTGTGACAGTACCAAGGCCTGAAAGTTTGAAGTCAAAAAGGGGTCATGGAGGAATTTGTCTTTTTTACCAAAAAACAATTTAAAGAGGGGTATCTCAGTGATAGAAACAGATACTAGTGGAGTTATGTGGATTAAACTATGTAAAAATGTTCTTTAAATTACAGACTGATATTTATTTATGCTGCTTGTACATACCACCTAGTAATTCCATATATTATACTTTACATGGAGAGGGTTTTTTTGAAGTCTTAGAAAAAGGTATTCGTAAATACTCTCAAATAGGTCAATTAGCCGTAATAGGTGATTTAAACTCTAGATGTGGTAGTAAATTAGACTACGTTCAAAGTAGTTCATATTTTGATAAATTTATTTCAACTATTGAACACAGTGATGATTGTGATAACAATCCTAACATTCCCCATAGATTTTCTATGGATACAGTTATCAATACACACGGGAACAGATTATTAGAATTATGTCAAAGTAGCAATATATGTATTTATAAATGGTAGGGTCGGTGACGATGCCGGTATTGGTAGTTACACGAACCTTTCACCGAACGGCAATAGCCTGATTGATTATGCATTATGCTCGCACGAGTTGTTCCCCCTTGTTTTCAAAACTTTATAGTTCACGATTTATACTCTATATCGACACATTGTCCTATTGAAATAGATATAACTGTAAATCTTTTGTACAAATTTATGTTCTTGTAATAAATAGTTGTTTTTATAATAAAATCGTATGGGATGAAAATAAAACTGATTGTTATAGATCTGCTATTTTATCAGAATTATGTAATATAGATAATATTGTAAGCAATATTGTATCGCAGGAAATCGGTGTTAATGATGGTGTATTTCAAATATCAAATATTCTTTACGACAAAGCATTTTAATATTTTTGGTAAGAAGTGTTCAATTGAAACAAATAAGAAACATGAAAATAAAAGAAAATATAAAAATCCTGGTTTAACAATGACTGCGAGGTGGCACGGCGGGAGTTTAGAATAGCTAATCGATATTATAGGAAAAACAAATCTTCTGAAAACACAATGTTATTAAAAACTAAACGCAATTGTTTATAAAATTTCAAAAAAGAAAGCACGTGCAAAATACAATATAAATCAAAATCAAAATCTACAATATTTAGCAAAACATCAAACCAAAAAAATTTTGAAAAGAAATACGTAAAATAAAAAATAAAAAATCAACAGCGAGTGACATTAGCAAAGAGGAATTTTTTGAACATTTTAAAACCCTTTTTTCAGTAGACAATGTATTTAGCAATGATGAAAACAGAGAATAATTTGGCTGAGGCTTGTTTAGAAGAAAATGTTATTTTACAATTAGATTAAGAGTTTACTATCTCAGAAACTGAAAAAGCAATTTCATCATTAAAGTGCGGGAAAAGCGGAGGTGTTGATAATTTAATAAGTGAGTGTAAAGATATAATTACACCAACCCTTTGTAAATTGTTCAATTATATGTATATTCAATTGTGTTTATCCGGAAACCTGGACAAAAGGAATTATTGTTCCCGTGCCTAAAAAGGGAAACTCTAGTTATGTAAATAATTATAGAGGCATTACTTTAACTAGTGTTTTTTTCAAAAAATATTTTCAATTATGTTAGATTCTCGCCTACGAGGGTGGGCAGAAAGTAATAATTTGCTGTCCGACTATCAATTTGGTTTTCGTAAAGATAAAAGCACTATAGACTGTATTTTTTGCTCTTAACTCAATTATAAATAAAGTAATAAAAAATGAAAATAAAACATTATTATTGTGCATTTATTGATTTTCGTAAAGCTTTTGATGTTGTTTATAGGAATGGTATATGGTTAAAACTAATAAAACACGGAGCGTCTTCTAGAATTGTAAATATGTTAAAAGTCATGTATGAAAATGTTAAAACATTTGTAAGAGTAAATGGCTCCTTAAGTGAATTTTTCGATTGTAACACAGGCGTTAAACAAGGAGAACCATTATCTCCTCTGTTGTTTATATTTTTTATTAATGATATGTATGACTTTTTATACGATGACAATATAGATTTTTTCTCTATTGAAGATTTAAAATTATTTCTTTTATTGTTTGCTGATGATACTGTGTTGTTCTCATATACAAAAGAAGGATTACAAATATTATTAGACAAACTACATTTATATTGTCAAAACTGGGGAATAACTGTTAACCCCGACAAGTCAGTTGTAATGATATGTAAAAAGGGCAATAGGCCTTCAAATGATGTTTTTCTTTACGATAATAAAATTCTTAATATTGTTAAAAACTTTGTATACTTGGGTGTAACAATTTCCTCAAACGGTAGCTTTAATCAAGCACAAACATGTTTATCTGAGCAAGCCTTCAAGGCTCTATATGCACTCAACTCGCTTTTTTGATAACTTGTCATTGAATGTTTCTGAAAAAATTAAACTGTTTGATTCTATGATAATGCCTATTCTTAACTATGGGTCTGAAATATGGGGCTTTCATAATTCACCAGATATTGAGCGAGTTCATAAAAAAGTTTATGAACCAAGTTTTAGGTGTTAGACAACAAACATGTAATGCTACCGTATATTGGTGAATTAGGTAGAGTTCCCCTTCTTGTTTTTACGTAAGATTAGTATTGTAAAGTTTTGGTTTAGAACTGCTAAGAATCCAGATTCATTTTTGTATAAACTTATGATGATGACAGATAATAACAATCAGTTTGTTAATAAATGGACCAATGATGTAAAATGTCTCCTCCAAGACTTAGGCTTTTCTTACTTATTTGATAACCCACATTCTATTTTTCTTAAGTCTATTATCCAACTTATATATGATCAATATTATCAACAATGGTTTTCTGAAATTAATAATTCTAGCAAACTTGATACGTATAGTTTAATTAAAAGCACGTTTGGAAAAGAGAAGTATCTTGATTGTATTATAAATGATAAATATAGAATAGCCCTTTCACGTTTTAGATGTTCTGCTCATAAATTAATGATTGAAGAAGGAAGATTTAGAAATATTGAAAGAAATCAACGATTTTTTTAAAATGCAATATGAATGTAGTGGAAACGGAATATCATTTTTTACTTGCTTGTCCGTATTACATTGATCTACGAAGAGAATATTTACCTAAATACTACTGCTCTTGGCCAAATGTACACAAATTTAAAATGTTAATGAATAACTCACAACAGAATGTTATAAAGAAATTATCTCAATTTATTTACTATGCAACGTTAGCTAGAGAAACAACTGGTAGCTAATTCCAACTAATTTCAAACATAAATTATTATAGTCTTAATATTTATTTCATGACTGTGATATTATATATGTAATATTACTTTTCTCGTATTTAGATGTTTCATGGATTTGTTAATATGTTTATATGTATGCATACACGCCATTATTGTTTATGGCTATAGACATTATGTTTGTGCCTTAATAAAATCTTGAATCTTGAATCATGGCTGTTTATTCATTTCGATACTAGTTGGCCAGTTTTATTGACATATTGTATAAAATTATTGAATAACTAATGTCACTTCAATACAATTTCAATATATTGTCGAATGGTTCTCCTATATTTGTGCTCGTAGTCGTACTACTTTCTGCTATACTGCTGCAGCGAGTACACCATTTCATAGAACAACGCATATTCGGGGTTGGCTAAAAATGAAACGTCATTAAATTATACTGATGATGATAAATTAAATGTTGTGGAAAAGAATCTTCAGTAAGTAAGCTAGGTTGAACGACAGACAGCGAACATTCGACAACATGCTGTCAGAAAAGCTCACCGGTGTATGTGCTTAGATGAACTTAAAACAATTGACTTACCACCTCTGTGTTTGATATACTCTTGACTTAACACTGCGGTTTTCTTAAGCCGACTCTCTATCTCTGTTGTGTCCTGTTCATTCTCTGCACAAGTCAATAGGTCTAATAGTTCAGTCTGCCAAGTCTTTTTAAGCCGCTCTTTAAAGTCACTGTAACCTTTAACACCTTTGGATATTACTTTTCTCAAAATCATTTCATTTTTATCTGTAATGTCCTTACCCTACAATATTGAACATTGCATCTTCATAATAATTAACAATTTATATTCATTCTGTAAGGTAATTTAATGTCTATTACATTTCTATATTTATTTCAATAAGTTTTTAAAGGTTAACGCTTCGGTTAGAAGGGTTCAAGCATAGAGTAAATAAAAGACAACACAAAAATATAGCTAGTAATTCCGAAACTGACTGGGATGTAATGTACTTGTTTAATGTACATGTAATTTTGTTGTGATTAATGCTTCCGAGGGATTACTTTGTTTCCAGAGTTTTATACTGCACATCAGCAGGTGTCAAGTGCTGTGTGGCAACTGTAAAAAGTTGCCTGTACTTCACTTCAGTGTTGTTACATTTTTCTGGTCTTCGGGGTCATTGATGCCAGCACTATTTAGTGTTGAGAATTGAGTACCGCTCAAGCCGTTGCTAGGGGGCGTAAGGGATATTCATTATCCCTCATGTACAGACTCAATCAAACCGAGTCTGCGATTTTCATGTAATTTTGTTGTGATTAATGCTTCCGAGGGATCATTTTGTTTCCAGATTTTTGTATTGATGAAAAAATGTTATAAATAGATAAAGCTTTTTAATTTCAAGCATGGACTGCGATCCTATCTCTTCTTCAAATGTATATAACATAATACCGACAAGCAGTTTTACTTTTAATATGATCTAAACTTAATAACAATGTATATTTACAGCATACCTTGCTATTCCTTCTGTCTGTGATCGTGAGTAATTCAAAGCCTGTGTCACAATCAATTAAAGGATCAGGATGCATATATTTCTTGAGGGCAACAAAGTTTCTTATGATGACTTTACTTATATCCATCACAATATCAGCAGACTCTGCCATTTTCAGTCCTTCCTAAAATCAAATAATAGGATATCTTATAGGCTAAAATATAATACTATCCGAACACTAAATAAGATGCATCCATTAAAGCATCTCTATAATGTTGCAAATAAAGTTATGGATACAGGACACTAAGGAATCGTTTTATATTTACTGTACTTATTTCTGATAATATTGTAAAATAAAGATGAAAAAACATAAGTTTTTAAAGAATGCCGAAAACGAAAAAAATGTTAATGTCGCACGCTAATTTGGACTAAGGCTGTTCATGGATGATACAAAAAATTGCAAGCAACCATCCACACCCACTAGCACCTGCTATAAAAGAGTTCTACATGGAAAAAGTATGAAGAGTTAACAAACATCCGTAGATGTGTTCATACGGCGTTAACCATAGAACCATCAATTTGTCACGTTCGTGCCATTTCATTTAAAGCGGCGTGTAATCCCCAAAAGTATTCGGTGCCCTAAACGAGAAAACAATTAGTGGTATTAAATGCTTCCACTATCAGGAGTTTGTTTATTATGTTTTACGCACTATCTTTAAGTTTCGACAATTTTGTTTTTTTTTTCGTATAATTGCCTGGATAACATTCCACTGATTCCTTCCATAATATTACATCTGAAGTTCTGATAATAATCCGAGGCACTCAAAAACAAAAAAATATGCAAATTCATTGAACTAATATACCCCGCCATATGATAGCAGTTGTTAAAATGAATTTGGTATATCTGTTTATAGAAGTTCAAACCGAATAAAATTAAAAATGTAAAAGCAAATCATTTTTAATAACAGAAAACATGTTGAAATATAACAAGAGACACACTAGGGCGGGGGCCACGCTCGACCTTATTAACCTTTTTCCTAAAGTAAACAAATAAAAGGAAAATTAAATAAAATAAATTTTGCTTTTCCTGGTTCCTTTTTTATATTTTTATAGGATTTTCTAGTCACAATTGTATGCATATATGCATAAATTTGCATAAAAATATTATTAAAATCCAAAATCAATGCTTATTGGTGTTTTCACCTAATCCAAGAAATCCTCCATGGGTATTCGAAGCTGTGTCTTCAATTAAAAGTGTTTTTAGTAAAACATAAAATATTTTAATTATCGAAATTGGATTAAAAAAAACATTAATTTAAATGGAATTATGTTACCTTAGATAGTAAAATGAGTTAAGCTACAGTGGGAAATATGCATTGCATATTTTATCTTATCTTATGCATTGCACTTCTACTAAGTGAGATGTATATCACGGTGCATATCCATATCGGTACCCTCTTTGCGAAATCTGCTCAAACGGTACCCTCTTCGAACATGCACAGGTCATTCTCTGCTAAAAACAAACCATCGATGGATAACAATCCAGTAAAATTTCATTGTAATAAGGAAAGGAGGTATGACACGTAGGAAAGATGTATACCACGGAACACTATAATGTTTAATTTATGTGCTGATTTGTCATGTGCCCGATTTTCATGTACTGCAACTTCACAATAAGCTACAAAAAATCGACATGTCTTGCCTCGCCCATCACCATGACATATCTTTCGGGCTGAAATGAACCTGTAGCTTGATGATATATACATCATACATATCTAATATATTCATATAATATCATCTTTGGACAAATGGCAGTATATTGTCAAAAATAAATGTAAAATTCATAAAAACAGCCTACTTTCGGTTTTGCAGCGGCACTGGCTACCTCTCTTCATTTGAATTTTTATATCACAGGTACCCTCTCATTTTTGAACACATAGGTACCCTCAAAGCACGACATACGCTTTTATTTGCGTTAATCGCTAAGTATATAATATTAACATAAAAGTATGAAATATTACATACATTCTTACTTAACGATTTCTTTTCCATTGAAAGGAAACTATCTCTGTCATCTCAAAAAAATTGAGGTTAGTCGGAAAGTAACAGCTTTTTAACTTTTGAAATTATGATCATTGTACGAGGATTGATCAAAATGTTATTGGCCCGATGTACTTCCAAAAGTCAAGAAACACAACTTATGGTCTTACTGTTCAATATAATCCCCTTCTACATAAATGCACTTTGCCAATCTGTGCTTCAACTTTTTAAACCCTTCAAAATAGAACTTTCTATTTTGATCCTCAAAGAACTCATTGACGCTTCCATGAGACCTTCATTGCTTCATGAAGCTTGGTTTTCAGTTTCGGAGTCAGAAGGGGCCAAATCCGAAGAAAATGGCGATTGGGGAAGAATTTCAAAGCCGCGGTCAGTTGCAGCAGCCATCGCAACTTGGGATGTGTGTGCCGTAGCATTGTCGTGCAGAAGCACACGCATTGAGTCAGTTTTCCCCTTCTTTTACGCGCGATTTCTGGACGCAGACGTCTCATTTCCTCTACATACCTTTTATGGTACGATCTTGCTCAAAAATAGTCAATCATGATTAAACCCTGACTATCCCAATTAATTGAAATCATCATTTTTCCTGCACCCTTATGAATTTCTTCGGAGGGGTAAGCCAGGGTGCTTCAACTGCATTATCTGTTTTTGGGATTCTGGATCGAAGTGATGGACCCTATTTCATCCTAAGTTACGATCCGGTAGATAAAATCAGCTTCATCCTCGTAGCGAGACAAAAGATAACTTGAAATGTCAAGTCTGGTCCGTTTCTTGCTGTCAGTCGACTGTCTGGAGACCTATATAGAGGAACATTTGACATGCCATAGACATCAGCCAGAATTGCCCCAACTGAACTAAAGGTAATACTCACTTCCCTAGCAAGGTCTCGCCTTCTGTCGCACATGACCAGATCGTGCACAGCTTCGGCAGTTTCATCGTTGGTGGCGTCTTTTGACCGCCAAGGACGCTCATCGTCTCCACTGCTCTCCCTGCCCCTCTTAAATTCAGCAGCCATTTTTTTTCACAGTACTATAGGAAGGGGACTCCATCCCAAGTGTATCCAAGAAGCCTTCGTGAATTTCCTTGGGGGAAATCCCTTTCTTACAGAGGTACTTAATGACGGCTCCGATGTCAACTTTCTCCATTTAGTCTAAATGACACACCTTTCTACTGATCAGATGTGTTTTATGTTACTTTATCTGTGTAAAACCGCGTTAATCTTCAATAAGATATCGGTACCGACGTATCGTGTGTAAATATCAGTGTAGTGATAGAAGTATATCGGACCGAGAACTTTTTGATCATACATCGTAATACTCATATTTATAACAGGATAGATTTACATGGTTACAATCATATATTGGTGTGTGATTTATTGAAATTTGGGATTTTAGTTCGTGTTATTTTTGGATGGTATGATCATTTCTCAAATAAACCCAGTTCCTTAATGAGAGATGTATAATTTTAGATTTGAGTTTTCCCAAGGATGAATTAGGAACTAATGATAATGTTTCAAAGGCTGAATCTTGGTGCATATGTCCTCAATGTGAGCTTTTGTGATGGCCCATTGTTCGTACTCCATCGTCCGGCCGTGCGTACGTGCATGCGTCAACGATTTCTTTAAACAACTTCTCCTCCTGAACCACTTGTCCAATTTGTTGAAACATTGCCGGGATGTTCCTTGCATGAAGCTCTACCAAAGTTCAATGAATTTAATTCCAGAGGCAAAAAGATTTTTTTACAAAAAACTCTTAAAAAATCTTCTTGTAAAAAACCGAAAGGACTAGAGCTAGATATTCGGCATGAAACATCTTCAAGTGGATGTCTACCATGTTTGTTCAAAAAAAAAATCCTAGGTTAAAATAGACCTCGCCGCATAGAGTCATTAATTTTCCTTTTATGTATATTTTAAAAACTATAAAAAAATCTTATTGTGACAATCTAAAAGCACTATAGATTAGATTTTTGGCATGAAACATTTTCTAGTGGATGTCCACCAAATTTCTTCAAATAAACGCCATAGGGTCATAATTGGCAAGGCCCAAGGGATCGTCGATTTTTCTTATATATACATGTATATAGTAAAAACTTTAAAAAAAATCTTCTTGTGAAAATCTAAAAGAGCTAGAACATAGATATTTGGCATAAAACATCTTCTAATGGATGTCTACCATGTTTGTTCAAGTGAAAGCACTAGGGTCAAAATTTACCCGGTCATTGATTGTCTTTATACATAATTATATAGTAAAAACTTAAAAAATCTTTTTGCGAAAGTCCAAAAAATATAGAGCTTAGATATTTGGCATGAAACAGGTTCTAGTGTATGTCTAACATGTTTGTTCAAATAAATCCCCTAGGGTCAAATTGGTACTGCCCCAGGGTCGAAGTCGACAGTTCAATTCGCAGTCAGGTCAAATGTTTGTTTACTTTCTTTTTTCTGTCATTGTTTTATTAGTTCATCTCTCACTTAATGACAGGCTTAACTGTTTAATAAAATGCCTGCCAGAGCAAGAATTAGAAAACAACAACATCTTAACAGTATCTAAACCACTGGTTCAATTTGAAATAATTTAACACAAATTTTCCTTGGTGACGGTATACAAAAAATTGTTCAGATTAAGCTGTCCCTTGTTTTCAAATTGTGCTTTCGGGGTGAAAAGGTGCTTAAATTTGACCTTTTGGCCTATTTCTCAGATGAGCTATCCATGGCCCTCTTATTTATCTTTATTTCAGGGTAAATTATTTGACTGTGGGGAATTGTCTCTTGCAGATTCGGATTTTAGTTTCGACAGCTGTCTGACAGGGTGTGATGGTATTTATGGTAACTGCTTTTCCATTTGGATTTTCCTGACTTCAATTGTATCAGAATCTTAGCATAACTTTTTTGGAGATGTTAACTGTCATTATTTTTCTTAAACTATGGTGTGCCGTTTTAAGAAAGAATTATTTATTGTGATACTCAAGCAGTTTTTATGTAATCAATATTGGTAAGACTTGACTTTATTTTTCCCAATGCTTATCTCAAACCAAGTTGGCAAGACTTTTTCTCAAGATTGTGATATGTTTATTACAGGTTTTGTTTTCAAATGAATATTGAATCTCTATTCTATCACCACTTCAGCGTTGTTTGTGCCGTGTGGAGGCTGTAAAAAGTCGCCCCGTACATTCAATCAGAGATGTTATATTTTCGATCCTTAAAGATCGTTCAGCACGACATTATTGTTGTGCTTGTGGTAATTAAGTTCTTTCTACTCGGCTATTTTCTTGTTGGGTGGTTCCAGTATTCCTCACTTAAATACTGTTTAATCACCCTTAGAATGTGTGGCCTGCTTTTTAAATTTGTGATATGCAGGCTTCATAACCTTTGATCTCCTTTCAATATTGCATTTTATTTAGTTCCGCCCATTGTTTTCTCGTTTAGGGCACACGCAATTTTTTACTTGGGGACCATATGCCACTTTTCATGGAATGGCACACTGAAGAGTCCATGATAACCGCCATATGTACACATCTGCGGATGTTTCAAATTTCAAAATTGTACCAATTCATTAAAAATGTTGAATCTGCTTAAGTCGGTGCTAGGGGCGTGGATGGTAGTTTGCACTTGACAGTACCGTCCATGAACAGACTCAATCAAACCGAGACTGCAACATTTTCAATTTTACCGTGTTGGGCTTTCTTTAGGGATTCTTATTTTCTCTATTTTTGCAAAAACCTTAGAATTGGAATCTGTCCGCAAGTTTACAGCAAGCTGGAGATTGAGGTTGATATTTTAAAAATGCAAACTTTGGATTTATATAGCATGTAGTTTGCTAAGTTTCAGCTTGCTATTAAACTTAGTCTAGATCATACACTATAACAGGTGCAGTTCCTGGCATTTATACATTATGTCTCTGTTCTTCTGTATGAATGTGCAGGATGAAGATTTATTCAGGGCATTAGGAAGCATGAAGCTAGAGTATTGTCAACTTACTTTATCACTCACAATATTATTGTATCAGATGAACAGTATAACACTGAAAACAGTTGGAAGGGATCATAATTTCCGCTTGAGGGAGCACAGTATTCGTGCTTTGAGAATAACTGTCAAAATACAGAAGGGTGCAGGATAAATGTAAAAATACTTGCAGCCACCATGTATTTTTCCTCTAGTCTTTGAATAAATTTGTCACTTTTGTTTCCCTTGTGGTTTTCTCGTCTACGGTAAGTATCTTTCCCTTTGCCCCTAGTTTTTATTTCTTTTATTTACCCCCCCCCCCCAGTCCCCAGGTCTCCTGTCCCCTTACCCGCCTATATGACTGAAATACTGTTGGGAAAATGCGTAAAATGAAACAAACAAACAATAAAGAAACAAAGTTAATACATAGTTATGATGAGAGGATGTCTTTTCAAAATTATGAATTTCATAGCCCTAGGGTCAGGGGTTCTATTTTCTGGGAGGGAGGGGGTGCTCTTATGAGTATGTAGTGAAAATGCATTAATTCTTTTAAAATCTTCTCCTCCTCTAGTATAAAGTTGATGAATTTTGTACATAGGTTTGGTGAGGAAGAGTTCCTCTTTCAAATTGTGAAATCTTTGGCTCCTTAGGTCTGGCTTCATGGCCTAGGTTGGGGCTAACTTAAGTGTATCTTGTAAATAAATTTTAGGAAATCTTGTTCTTTTATAACTACATTGCGATGAAGCAGTTAAGCCGTTTGCATAATTATACCCCCATAAACGAAGTTTAGGATGGTAAAAAAGGACTCAGCTTGGCTTTCTGTCCGTCTATTTGCCAGTATGTCAGTGGGTCTTTTGCATGATTTCCGAACGATAACTAGAGTTTGGAATGAGATATCATAATCAAACTTTGTATGTAGCATCATTATCTAAAATAACCGGTTGGTATTCCGTTTACCCCCCCCCCTTCGTGTCAAGGTCACTGTAACTAAAATAGCAAAAATGCTTTCCGGACAATAACTAGAGTTAGAATTGATTTAATTGTGATTAAACTTGGTATATAACAAACGTATATGAAGACCTGGGTTGGTTATGCATTTGGACACCCAGGAGCCAACTTAAAAGTAACCATTATTTACAATAGAAGAATGGTTTTGAGAGAATTACTAGACTGGGATGAGATATTTTAATTCTCAGTATTTAGTAATCTAATACGAAGAACTGGGCTGGTAATACATTTGGACCCTAGGGTTAAGGTCAAGGCTACTGTAATTAAAATTCAACAAATGTTTTTCTAGCTAAAACTTAGTTAGGTATTACATTTTTTTCAAACTTGCTTTATAGCAAGCTTATATGAAGAATCGGGTTGGTAAAGCATTTATACCCCCTTGGGTCAAGGTCAAGGTCATCGATACTTAAAATAAAAAGAAATGGTTTCCAAACAATTACTAGAGTTAGCGATCGGGTATTAATATCAAATTGATATATAGTTAGCTTGTATGAAGACCTTGGTTGTCATATCTTTTGGACAACATTGGGTCAAGGTCAAGGATACCGGTACTAACAACGGAAAAATGGTTTTCGGAAAAAAACTAAAGTAATGAAGAAAAATGTTGGTATTTAGCAAGCTAATATGAAGACATTGATTTGTGTTGCATTTAGGCCCCCCTGGGGTCAAGGTCAAAGGGACTGTAACTAAAATAAAAAAATGGTTTCTGAACAATAACTAGGGTTAGAAATGAGATATTGTAATCAAACTTGGTAATAAGCAAGCTTTTATGAATACCTGGGTTGTATTGCATTTGGACCCCCTGGGCTCAAAGTCAGGGGCCTTGTTACTTAAAATAGAAAAATGTTCTTTAGACAACGAATAAAATATCGTAATCAAACACTGTATATAGTAAACTTATGTAAAGACTCGAGTTTTTTTTTTTTTTTTTTTTTTTTTTTTTTTTAATTTTTACTTACCATTACTGAAAGTAGAAAATAATTTTCCGAACTTTAACTACAGTTAGGCATGATATATTGTAACCAAACTTGGTATTTAGTAAGCTTATATGAACACTAACTTGGTTTGCTTTTGTACCCATGGAATCAAAGTTCAGTTTTACTAAAAGTAAAAAAAATATTTCTAAAAGTTAACATTATTTAAGAATTTTTTGTACACAGTTGGTACTTTATCAATTTTAGGTTGAGTTCAAATTTTGCT